GAGGAAAGTCCTTGGCTTATATCCAGCATCATGGTAATCCAGCATCTCTGCTGACAGGATAGTATGACTCCTGCCTGCCTAACTAATAATGATGTCCATATTAAGTGTGAGTAATAAATTTGTCTAAGGGAACCAAGCATGGCTCATTAGGCAGGTCCTTTCAAATTAAGGCAGGATGCTTCTTTATCACTCAGTGACATTGCCTTCTCTTCTGCAGACATAAACTTTTTTCTTTTGAAAGGCTGCCCTCTCCAGAAGCAGCACTGCTCCTTTTCAACTACTTGTGTCTTTATGTATGATGAATACATTAAATACTCATATTTTGGCTATTATGTAAATCCACTAAGATGCAAGAGACCCTCAACTTTTACTACAGTCAGAGAGTTGAGTTGTTCTATTCTACAAAGATCTGTGCAACAGAAAATAAAACTAGGTCTACTAGTTTCATTCTCATGACATGATTTTTATCCAGGCAGTGCTCAAAAACCATCTGGAAGACTGGCTCATCTATAAAGTTATACATAATATACAGAGTAAATTGGTGATGGAGCTGTAAATATTAGTCACATGGTCGAGCAGTTTTTGACATGAACAACAATTCATTTGGAATGTTCAAAACCACTCTCATCATAGTTGTATACATAAACAGACAAAACATACCTTTGCTTTTGAGATACTATAATTTCAGCTGTTAAAATGAGGTAAACATCCACAGTTGGGATATTAATGATAATAATTCTGAATAATACACAGACGAGAAAACAAACAATACCTGTTTGTTAACTAGTTTAGACAGTCCTGCAAAAAGAAATCTCTCCTATCATAACCAAGATTCAAACCCAGCACATAAATTCTCTGAAGATAAAAAGCATTCTCCCATCAGTTCAAGAGTGCAATAAGTCCAAGTCAACTGTAAAAGCTACTCACATCATACCTTCACACTTGCTGGCATCAGTGCCTTGACTATTTTACTATTTGTGCCTCCTTTCACTTATCAGCTTGGTTTACATAAACACACATCCTTCTTTCTAAAGGATTCTAATCATCTGCTTCTTTATCTGAAACTTTGGGAACACTTCTCTTGAGCATCGCCATTAGTTGCTATGGAGATGGTTCTAATAGCACTTACAGGCAGCAGGCAACAGATTCACTCCAGAGTGAAAAAAAGATACTGCCTCTCCAACATATCCCAATTAATCAAGTAATAAAGAAAAAATGACCCTTGCAGGCATACATTTGTACATGTCTCATCTTATTTAGAAACTTCTGAATTAAATGTAAGGAAAATGTTGAAATTGCATGTGTGTGTATATATAGATATGCATTTAAACACAGAATGACAGCTGAATTAAAACTGACAGAATATTTTTCAATGTCCAATTTTTATAAAAATATGTTTTCTGAAGGGGAAAAATAATTATAATTACAGGAAAAGTTTTAGTTTCAATTAAATTTCCATTAGAAAGACCTGTCTGATTGCTTGAGAGAAATAGGAAAGTTCATTCCCTGTAACCTATTAGGCGCAGAATTACTTTCCTATTCTGCTTGAATAGGAAAATTAATTTCCTAATCTGCCTGATTAAAAGATGATGCAGTCTCAAAGACCCTCATCTGAATCAGAGCAGGCGGCTGAATGCACATTTCTCCAGAGCCAGTGCCATAATTGTGCTTATTTCTTAATGATGTCCCCTCATAAAAGCGTTTATATTAATGCTATATGAGGAAATTCTTCAAAATTTTC